TTTTTTTAAAAAGGTGTTCATGAGGTTACGATCATGAACACTTCCAAATCGGTCTGCATTCCTTCTGCCATTACTACCTTGGTCATCGGCAAAAAATTAAGGTAAAACAATATATCCTCTCGCATCGTCATTCCCATTACTCTGCATTGCTTCTCCCACTGCCTGATAAAATTGTGCAGATATTATATTTTTAGTGTCTGGCGAAAAGACAGGCACAAACTGTCGCAAACCTTTCCTCGACTGGGAATGGATCCGAGAGCCTGCTGTAGATCTACATCACGAGAGTGTTATTCTTATATAGATTTCTGGTAGCTCCAATTAAGATTTCACAGCATTTGAAGCTCCTTTACTTCCCATCACCTCTAGCAACCGTCACATTGTCATACCGTTCTTCTGAAGATTGCAATTGAAAGACCCAAGATGAACTTCCTACCTCTCCTTGTTCTCCTTTTCTTATAATTTCTTAATGTAAATATATTGTCTATGACCGACCTGCCGGCAGTTAAACACCACATTTCCTGTCTATTTTTTCTTTTATCTCTTCTTCTATTTTATTACGTATTATTTTCTGCTAGACCCTACCCTATAATTCCCAACTAACTCTACTCCTCTCTAATGTTTTCTACATTGCCTCTCTAGGATTCCTTCTTTAATGGATTGGATATTCAATCTTTTCTTTCTTGTGTATGTTTTAATAATTAACTTCCCTGGCAACAGTTCTGTCCAGGAATTAAACTTTGTCTTGTTAGCCAGAGATCAATCAAATTGTTTATCCCTTATGAATATCCAATTAATTTCGTTAAAATTCTCCATTCACCCTAATATTTAAATGATTAGCCAAAGAAATTGTTAGCAATTGGCTAGTTTTACACGAGTAAGGGAATAGACCCCTGAGCTATAACCGCGCATTTATCCCTTGCCCAGGGAGATGGTGAGGTCGTACAGTAGGTATTTAACAAAGTGAAGAAGACCCGCTATCCACTCTGACTTGCATCAATGTTTTGGATTTTGAAATCCATCTCTTTTATTTTTGGGGACCACTTCTACAGGAAGCCCTTTGGGACATTTCAAAATTTCCCCGAAATAGATCCCAAATTTTTTTCTTTATATGTATTGTATACAATAGAATAGAATACATTTTAAAGGTTGGCATACCGGTCCGATTATCACTAATATCTCTACCAATTCCTTTCATAATGACAAAAAGCTATAATGTTTTCGGCGTCATCCAACTACAAAAATTGAAGATAGAAGATTTTTTCATTCAAATATTTTTTCCAATTTTTTCTCTCTAAACTTTCATTCCACAGATAGTGCAATCCGCAATTTGTATTATGACATGAAGTTAATATTTTGGATATTGGTTTGGTTTTTTAACAATTAACACATTACAGTGACTCCCAAAAACTATTCAGACATTTATATAATGACCCACAAAAATTCTCTCCTCGCGGAAAACCACGGGAAAACCATTCATTAGCTTAGCGGTTGAAAGAACAGAATTTAATCTTATACAATAAACATATACATACTTTCAAAACATATGAATTTGTATTGATTAATTAGAAACTATCGCAAACAATGTGAGGAATGCTGCAGATCGTTTACGCAGATTGAAGAATGCTACATGGCGAATAAAAGAAACTGATCATCCAGCCAATTGGCTCTATGTAGTATTTGACATGACATTGGTATAATTCGAAGTGATGACATAATAATTAAGTGGGAGGAAGGGTGGAATCCATTGAGGTCACTCCTGCTTATCCATGTAAAAAGTCGGAGCAGAGCCTCCGTGGGACGGACAGAAAATGTTCGTTGGTAAGAAAAATTTTACAATGCATGCCTTGAAACCGAACAATGGAGTACCTAAACTGCGGAATTTAGCAAACTGTACAACCTGCCGGTGCCAAGATATATCAAAAGTTCTGGCCTAACATCTAGACAAAAACTTCTGCGGTTGTGCTTATGGTTCTTGGAATCCTTCGATGATATCTTCAGCTGAGGCGTAGATTTGATGATAGGTGACAAAGGAGTTGGAATCCAGAACGTGATAGTGGTATGGCATGACTGAGCTGAAGTAAGAATTTATCTGGAGATATACACATTTTCCAAAAACAGCTTTCCCATGTCATGAGTAGCAGAACTAATCGGGCCGATAGCTGTTGATTACAATGTTGAGCTTCCCG